TGAGATGGGGCGGGGGCAAGAAAGGGAGGCGAAGGCAGTGGTGAGGACTGGGGGGGGGGCCATCAAAGACATTCATAACATCTCACTATGATTCATTAACTAACACCAAAGAGGGGTGGTCACCAAACAATTAGATGTGACAGTCCAAGACACAGCTGATAAAATAGAGTGATATTAAACAGATTTTATTTGCTTTTATCGGAGTACGCGATGAAGTTACGAGCTAAATATTCTAGTCCTCATTATGTGTGAAGTTGCTAATTTACTCATGTTGGAAACCCTAATTTTACTGTTTTAGTCTTTCCTGGTTTACAGTACTACTACTTTTAAGCATACCCCTTAGGGTGTACATGAGTGTACTGCACATGCATACACACAGGCGCGCGCACACAGACACCCAGCATGGCCTGGGGCGATCTGGTTTGCGGTTAAGCAGATAGCATTAACCTTTAGACGTTGAGGGGAAGGAGTGGTTTGTCTAATTGTTGGATTGCCTTGGTTGTGCTGAGGAGTCCTCTCCTGAGAAAGGCCTTCAAGGTGATGTACTATTTAGTTTAGTGCTACGAGCCACTCCATTATTTAAACAACATCTTGGAAAAGCCGGTCATGAAAAACACATTTCTTCCATTTTGGTGGGTTGTCGTGGCGGTGTAAAGGCAGGCGGGGATGGGAGGGAGGGAGGCAGGGAGGAGAGAGAGGGATGGATGAATGCATCTCGTCCTCCATAGCCACTCATGTCGGTGTCAAGGCGGCGTGGCCAGAGAGAAGAGAAAAGCATGCAAGAAAGGGAAAGTCAGTGCCGTCCGGTTACTAAAACTTAAATGACCTGGGGGAGTGGTAACACTGGGATTCTGTCTAGAGCTGGGCAGATTTGCTCCACTTAACACCCCATTTCAGAGAGGGGTAAACACGTCCAAATAGATTAATGTATAGACGTCTGGTAGGGCTCTTCTGTTCTCACAGATACACTCTGAGAGAGGCATGGAGCCTGAGTGCATCCTTTATCCATTACAGAAGTGGTTCACTGATGTCGGCTGACTTTGCGACATGAGCTTTGATGGGCAGTAGATGAGAATGAGTAATTTCTGTTTGTCTGAGAATGTGTCCTGTGTGTGTGCGTGTGTGTTTCCCTGCATGCTATCTTCACCACAGTGAGGGCTCATGCAGACCTGTGTGACATCACTGGCTCAGGTTGTTTCAGACATTCCTGAAACTCGCACATCAATTTTTAAAAACACTCTCTTTCTCTCTTAGCTCCATTAAAACAGAGATGGGAAAGGGAGAGATTTTTTTTAAAGTAATTAATGCTACACTTGCTCAATATTAATAGGAACAGTCTTGCATAAAATATAGCAGCTAAACCCCTATAATGCAGACAGTGGAGTAATTAAAGACGAATGTGTAATAGAGCCTATTTATAGAATTAGAACTAATTGTTATCCGAAACGTCAGGCTCACCTCAGGTAGTGCCAGTGAACATTACCAAAGCAGATACAGAAGGAGAGGTCTGCTTATGATACATGCTAGGAATTGAACCTTGCCCTCGGGTCATGGCAAACTGAAGAACATACCGGTACTATGGGTTAAATATTAGGCAATTAAACTAACAAAGGGCAAAAGGACAGTGAGTGATTTCAGTGTAGGAGCAGAGGTGTGTGTGTGTGTGTGTGTGTGTGGGGGGGGGGTTGAACATGTGCTTGCATTCTCAGATAGCTACTCAAAAACGCAAGTCTGTGTATGACTATCTCTCAAACACTGCAGTAAGTGAGCAGGGGGGATAGTGGGTTAGAGGATAATGAGTCCACTTTGTTGGGTGTCAGTGGACTCCAGTGTGTGGGTCTGTGAAGTTTGGGTTAGGGGCAGCCTTTTTAACCACTGGCCAGTTTTAATATCATTCAGGTGCACTATCAAGGTAGTTTTTATAATTTATTTTACTAATATTTACCAATGATCAAATGATTTTTTTTAAAGAAGTAGAGCAGTTTTAAAAGAACATCAACCAGATTTGATCATACATATAAAGACTGTGTGTCTTGCAGAAAGAAGACAATGTTGACCACACTAAATGATACTGGTAATGCAAAGTAAAGAGAAAATGGCATTCCTCACAGTAATAAAACAGTAATAAAATACAAAGTATTTCAGCTTCAAATGGCATTTCTACATTAATATTTTCCCTTGACTTATTTTCACTTTTAAATAATCATAATTAACACCAAAAAAAATCTACTTTTTAAATATAAACAGCCCTAATTATTATATACAGGCTTGTGTGTAGCTACAGTGCGTACAGTACATACACAGAATCATCAGTAGGAGTAATTCTTCCATCTGAAGGAACTTACATGTGTACTGGTGGGGAGTATCCGGGGCTGCTGTGTCCGTTGGTGTCCAGGTGGTCGAGCGAGCCGTTGAGCTCCTCGTGGGCGGATTGCATCAGGGTGGGGGGGCTGCCGCTCAGCGTACCTGGGGGGCTGCCACCCAGCAGTCCCGGCGGACTCCCGCCCAACAGTCCGGGTGGACTTCCGCCCATCAGGCCAGACGGGTCGCCGCCCAGGAGGCCGTGGCAGCTGCCGCCCATCGGGCCTGTGGAGCCGCTGTTCATGAGGCCGGGGGTCCCCAGCAAAGGCAGGGAGGTCTCTGCCAGGGCAGCCTGCAGGAGGGAGACGGAGACGGAGACGCAATGTTGGGGATTAGAGTTTGAAGGGTTGTTGGTACGAGGCAGGTGAGTGTTACATGAGGGTTGAAGGGAGATGGAGGAAGGATATGAGGGTTAGGTATAAGGAAGGAGAGAGGGGAGGAATAAAGAGTGGTACAAGTGGGAGAAGTGACAGGCGAGAGAATGGTAAGATTTAACAAAGTAATTATTAAAACACAGTTGTCCCATGCTTACGTTTTCTTATTCTGTTTCAGGCTATTTTTCCCCATGATACCTTGCTGACAACTACCTGCCCCCAGCTGCCATTCATATGCCCTTGTGTGGTGTGGCTATTAAAAAAAGTCCCCCCAAACTTTACCTCAAAATAATAAAAAACTCCTGACACTTTCGCCTGCTGCGCATTAAAGTTATATACAGTGATTAAATTTTTAAAGTTTTTGCCATGAGCACCTCGCCGGCGTACACTATGAAGCCAAATCATTTATGACAGCTTAGATAAATATTAATGCACATGCCCTTGCATTTGCACATGCCGCTATCAATCTAGGGTGGCTGCCACAGCTGAAAGAAGGGGAAAAGAACTGGAAAGAAGGATGGAGAGTTGCTTCCTGATTTGACCACAGGGTGGCCTTCTGAGTCTGACGGTGTACAGGAAAGAGAGGTAAAAGGAGAGAGACAGAGAGAGGAAGGGGGTGAGAGAAGAGATACAGAAACACACACGATCAGAGAAAGAGGCAGAAACCTGAGTTAGAAAAAAAGAAACTTGCTCTTATGAGTGTGAGTACTAATGTGGAGCCCTATTGTTCACAGCAACCACACTAATCCAGTCACTCAATTGGTCAATCAGTCAGGCAGTAGTCCTGCCTGTCAGTCAAATACAAAAACACATGCAGCTGGTGAGTCAGAGGCTCTCTGAGGCTTTTGGTTCATACCTGTAAGCTGGCGTTTAGTGCAGTTCCATAGCCAAGACTGGAGGGCAGGTTCTTGACAAGTGATGGGCTTCTGGATACAAAAAAAAAAAAGAAATGAGTCCACAATGACTGAACAATTTAAACAGACAATACATCCAATATTAGTAACTAAAGAACATATCGCACAGCAGGGAGACTGTACAGTACGTATAAACAAAGAGGGAGAAAGAAATGGACAGGAAAAAGGACAAAGGGAGAGGTGTTTTTCAAAGAACAGTGCAGAATTTGATTCTTTATGATCCTCTAGATGTCATTGACCTTCAGATCAAGATCTAAAGCAAGGTGACAGAATCCGTACCCTGTGATCTTCTGCGACCTGCGTTTCTGGTACTCCACCTCATCTACCGTCCACACCGCCCCCTTCACGTTCTCCACGCGCACAAAGCACTTGTGCAGACTGAGGTTGTGGCGAACGGCATTCTGCAGAGACATGACACACAGGTCAGAGGGATGAGGTAAAAACGAATCATATTCATTCATTAACCGTCAAGTACAAAAAAAAAAGAAGAAGAAGAAGGCTTGGAAATTGATTTTTTTCTTGCATTTTGAAGAAATTCTCAACATTCACGCACCATTGATTTAATTAGTAAAAATTGAGTGAGAGCGAATGCTCTTACAAGTCCTGCACACAGTACATATCAATCAGAGTAAGTAGGCTAAAAGGAGGTAATCAGCATAGCGAATGGCTTATGGTGGTGACAGAAGTGGTAATGCCGGCCTTGATAATGGTGATGTCAGTAACCCTTTCTGCTCCGGTAAAGCATTTCTCTTAATGGACACATCGCTTTAGAGATGACAGTATTGCAAGAAAAAAGACAGTCATCAGGAGGCCCTTGTGTCAGTGTGTGTGTGTTCGAGAGTGTGTTCCTGCGCGAATAAGGAGGATTAAGGTGAACTGTGTCTGACATCTATATGTCCAAATATTCTCCATGTGGTGTCACATCTGGTGTCGAATACATGCTTACATGACACAATTATCTCTCAAATTTATTATCAAAGCTGTATTTAAATTAGAACAGGATATATCTGTCATACTGTAAACCAGTAAAGTGTTTTCATTAATTGCAAAATACGGAAAACCTATAGAAAAAAAGCCCTCTTATATTAGTACGAGCATATGACCATAATTAAAACATGCATCAGACTCTACAAATAATAACCCTGGCTTTAATATCCATGCCTCTCATATTTATCATCGCCCTTTGCTTGGTGTGTACTGCTCTTTCTCAAAGAAAAAAGGATTCAGAAAAAAAGAAAAAAAAAAAAAAAACTCATAAGCAGATCTCGCATCTGACCTGAAAATCCCAGGATTTGATTGATCTTAATGCCCATGGCTCTGAATATGATAATTTTAATATTAATGAGCAAATGAGCAGTTTTATTATGCATGCTATATAGTTAGAACTAATAAGCTTCTGGGTGAGAGAAAAAGAGAGAGAGGGAAGTGTGTGGGTGGGGGGGTGGGTTGGGGCCGCCGACGAGCCACGTGCGCGCCTAGCCCCCGCGGGCTTAGATCCCTGCGTTTTGAGGCTGATGGGACCAGCTGCGGTCTGTAAATTCCTTTCAATTTCTTTCTCCTTCTCTCTCTTATTTTTTTTAACCGATTCTCTGCGTTGAATCAAATGACAAGCCATCGTGATCGATCCCTAGTACTTTAGCAAAGGGAGATTGTAATGTTGTTTTCTTGGTTACCACGAGGCGCTTGCGCCTCAGGGGTGGGGCCGAGTTTTTAAATGTCATGTATATCATTGCGTATTGTATCAAGAAGCTAGAGGAATTTTTTTTTTAGGACAAGAAGAGGAGAAAACCATTTAAAAATGACATATGATGTTACGAATGTTTTGTGTTGTTTTGTGTGAAACGTACAACAGCCACGACCTCTAGAGACATCATTGTGTCGGTAATTTAGTTACACAGCGAAATCCTCGCTCGTTACTGTACCTACAAACTGGAAAGGGCCCGTTTTTTGAATGCCCCTCTGAGATTGGGTGATATCACGCTCATGTGCTTCATTTGATCAATCCAATTTTGCAGCTTTTGCTACAAATTAAGTGCTGTGCCATGGCTTGGCTTATGAATGAGTCGGAATAGGTTAACTTGTATTCTCCTGGTTTCGGGTCGATGTTGCTGACACTTATGTATATTTTTAAGCAGGTCGCGTCTCTATATTGAGATGCATGCGACTAGTCTCTAGCGTAGAGTTGGTCGGAGGGTAATCGGTAACTCGAAAACATAGAAAGAGCCATGATAGAGGAAGCATGTTCTCAGGGCAGTGAGCTGAAGCATAGAGCTGGGCGGTTAATCTTATCCGAGTAGACGTATATGTATGATAATATACATGTGCTGCAGGAAGAGATTTTTTTTCCATCTTTGTGAAGGGTGACAGGACAATAATTTGTACTGTGATTAAATTTTACTGTATATGTCTGCGCCCTCTATTTTGTTAGTGTATAGCTCATAGTATTCAACCGAGACGCGAGAGTGGCTACCTACCATTGCAAGCCATTTATATTTTCTCTGATAGGTTTTTGTTCAGCAGCAGCTGAAACAGTTAATGGTCGTGTGTAGTAGTGTGTGATTCTGTGTGTGTGATGTCTGTGTCATGTGTGTTGTGGGTTGAGTACATGTGTGTAGTGTTGTGTGTTGTGTGTGTGTGCCATTCTGTTTGTTACTGTGTGTGTCTGCAGAAGGTGACTTGTGTGTGCCGTGTGTGTCTGCGTGTGTGTGGTGTGTGTGTTACTGTGTGTGTGTGTGTGTGTGTCTGTAGTGTTGTGTGTGTGTGTGTCTGGTGTGTGGTGTCTGGTGGTGTGTGTGTGTGTTACTGTTTGGTTTTTGTGTGTGTGTGATGTCTGTGTGTGTGTGTGTGTCTGTGTGTTACGTGTGTGTGTAGTGGTGTTGAACCTGACCTTACATCCCACGCGCAGTGCTTTAGGCGCGATCGGAGCGTGTGCTGTAGCGTTCAAACTAAATGATCTGACAGCTCGAGAAGCGAGAATAAATTACTCTTAGAGAGACAGTGTATATCAAATCTAGAAGCATTAGTTCTTTTCTTCATGACTTCT